AGCAATCCGCTACCTCGACCTCCGGGGCGAGAAAGCCCCGTTCGTAAGTGCGGATCCGACATAAGTCGGATCCGCGTAAGTCGGGGACTGCCTGTATATTGAAAGTAGACATATTTTTTCTGTGTGAAGCTTTTGGTTTTGAAATGAAATCTTTATGCCATAAGAATTTTAATAAGAACAGTTTTAGCTCCCTAATGATGCTTTGTCCATGGTTAATTTTAAACAGATGATTAATCCCACCAGATGGAGTACCGTGAATAAGAATCAAATACACTTGCTGAAGTATTTGTAAGATCAGGGTTTCAATTTCAAGTATTCTGATTTTTGCCCCAAAAGCATATCCTTCCAGTAGACATATTTTTAAAAGTTTATATTAATTCATTAAAGTTTTCATCTAAAATTGCGACAGCACACATTTTCCAGTTAGTTGCACAGAGCCTCAATTTAAATCAATTACCAAAAAAAAAAAAAAAAGGCAAATGATTTAAAATCAATCTACCTCAACACACATCATAGTATATCAAGTACATCCCATAAGTTCTCCATTTTCAGTCTATTTAAGTCTTCATGTTGGGTATAATTTTTTCCACTTTGTTGACAGTTTGATTACCTAGTACATGCATGAATATAATGACATGCCCTCCATTGCTCTAGGTCTCCTCATGTAGAAACTTTCCAAGTTACTATAGGAGTGTACAGCTTGTCAGGCTACCATCCTGAATCCTTTCACAAAGCCAGGATGAAGTAGGAGTGTCTCCCGCTATTCCGAACTATTCTCTGTGTGAAGAAGAAATCCCATTTTCCCCATCCACAGAGAAGTGGTGGGCCATCATTTGTCAGGTGGGGATAGCATGTGTGTTAACATGCCACAGCAGCTTGCAACAGCCCCATTACCAGACAGCTTATCAGCCTAGAGGTTAAGGCACTTCTAGACAAAGTGTTGGCACCTATAAGTTAGAGTTCTGGTGGCAAGATGATGATCTTATTGTAATTTATATAGTCTAGATTTCAATATTAATTTTGTTTTGCTTTTTTTTTTTATAAGTTACTTTTACTTGTGTTTCCCTCTAGGAAAACCCCCTCCTTTCCAAAGTAATACAATGTGACTTCTCCAGTGTTTATCAATTCTGTGGCACGGGAAATAGGTAGGATTATATAAAGGATGCTGGAACATTATGTTGTGGTAAATGGATTTGGAAATATGGGGGTAACTTTCAGCAAATGACTTTGTGTATTGTCTTTCCATTGTCATGAATATAGGAGATACTGCTGAGGCAGCGGTCAGACCAATCTGCAAACTTCTCCAGTAGAAGTATATAGTACACTGAGGGGACAAATACAGTGCTTGAGATGTGGCTGCTTTACAACAATCATCTGTTTTTCAGGGAAAGTTGTGCGGCACCAATCCATGTTTTACTCAATCATTATTAGCATATGGTGTTCGTCTTTGCTCCATTGCAAATATATGTGTAACGTTTCAAGGACCTGTATGTGGACGTGTGTCTAGGTGAGCTAATATGCTATACTGGGCACATCACATCACATCTCCAGTATTTCTCAAAGAACAAAAATCCAATGTACTTTTAAAATCTTGTAACTGCACTGTAGAATACCATCACACAGTTTGAAGTACAAAATGAAGTAATTTATCATAACCATCACAAAAACAAACTTACCCCTATTTCCTTTGCTGATAACATTTTCTTCCTGTTCCAAAACAGTAAAAAACTGAGCAATAGCCTCCAGCTACAGTATAGATTTTAAGAAGTGGATCAAATCTGGAGCCTAAAACACTTATGTATTTCTGAATCACTTTTCCCCCCAGTGAAATAACAATCTGAACAGAAGTTGTTCTCCAGGATAAACATTTTATTTCAAAGAACAGGAAATAGATGTTTACCTGCTCCAAAGTAAGCTGCTTAGAAATAGTATCATTTTCCAGTTTTTTAATTTTCTTCATCAGTTTGTTCACTTGAAATTCCTGTTCCTGCTCTAAATGCTGCTCCAGTTCAGCCTTCTCATGCTGTAGCTAAAAATTTAAGATACAAATGAAAATATTTTAATTCATAATTATAAAAAAGAATACCAAGCAGATGACACGGGACTGCAGACAACATCTCATTTATTCTTTAAACTCTTCTCTGCAAGCTATATTCAACACCCAGATCTACAGATCTGAATATATACCAGATTCTTTTTAAAGAGCAACATTTTACAGTACGTTTAATTTATAAAACAGATGAAAGCAGCATAAGTTTCCAAATATTTAATAAAGACAAAAACTCTTTCTTGCATTAATCCCATCAAATTCGGTCAGTTCTTGGGAGTCCTTTCTACCCAAAGTGCTCAGTTCAGTACCATATCATAGGGGTGGCCACCGCCTGATCAGGCCTTCAGGCCACCCAATCTGGTCCATGGGCTGCCCCGCCAGGACCCTCAGGCACAGAGCAGCCAGTCGCTTCAAAGCAGCCCCACGCTGCTTTAAGCAGCTGGCTGCTCCCTCTGGGTCTCTGCTCTGGGTACCAGAGGGAGAGGAATGATGAAGTGTCCATGGAAACCTGCCAGTGGGATCGGAGAGATTTTGCTGAGGGTAGGGGAAGTGCAGGAAGCCTCCCCTTCCATCCAGCGCCTGGAGCAGAAAACCACAGGAAGCACACAGCCATTTTGAGCAGCCTGGAGGATGCAGGGAGCCTGCCTCAGGGTCCTGGAGGGCTGCTGGCCAGGAGCTGCCTAGTTAAGTGCTTCCTGGCCACAGCCTGCCTCTGGATCTCCAGGTCACCATCCAAACCCTCTGCACCCCCTTTAGATCACAACTCCCTTGCAGACCCTGTGCCCCTTCCTGCACTCATACGCTCTCCCGGACTCTTCATCCAAAAACTCTACCCCAGATTATAACCCCCCCTTCACCCAAACTTCCTCTCATACCCCACACTCACTCCTGCACCCAATACCCTACCCCAAGCTCCTCTCTACACTCAACTCCCGTCCCGTATCCCCTCCATAGAAAAGCGTGACCCTTGACCACGTAAAATCTTGGAGTGGTTCCCAATTTAAAACTATTGCCCACCTCTGCCATATCCTCTCACCACCTGCTAACATGTCTTCCAAAACTTCTTTAATCAGCTTCTGTCTTCTTCCTTAAATCTTGATCTATTGGACTCCTACCCACATAGCTGTTAGGACCACACTTATATAAACCATCCAAGCTTGGACAATTTTTTTGTTTGTTTATGAGTGTTACTTTGAACAGGTCTTTAATACACACTTGCCTCTTGGGATCTTTCTTGATCACCTCACTCATTCACCTCCAAATTTCTCTGGAACAGATCGTTCAGTCATGTCTCTTTGTTGCCCACACTAACCTTCATACATTAAAACTAGATGGTGCATTATTTTATAGACTTTTAGTCTTACTGGTATCTACAGCACTTACCTCTTTCAACTTGAGCCATGCATTTATTATCCTAATACTTCTAACTTCATTCTCTATTTTCCCAGATTCTGGAACACAGACATTTGACACTATCTTTTTGATACTTATCTACATATCTATTTTTAAGGATAATTCCTCACTGTGCACATTATTGAAATTCTATATTACATGCAAAAATATAGTGATTTGAGGCCATGTCTGTCCAACACATCTCTTTTTTCCAGATCCTTTTCTAAACCATCTTTCTCTTCACTGCACAGAACAATAACATTTGCAAAGACCATGCACCAAGGTATCTCTGTCGATATGTTCCTTGTCAGGGTATTGGATGAGGAGAAACAAGAAAAGGCTCAATGCTGATCCCTGAGGTAGAATCATAGGATTGGAGGAGCTCTCAGGAGGTCACCGAGATCAACCCCCTGCCCAAAGCAGGACCAATCCCAACTAAATAATCCCAGCCAGGGCTTTGTCAAGCTGGGACTTAAAAACCTCTAGGGATGGACATTCCACCACCTCTCCAGGTAGCCCATTCCAGTGCTTCACCACTGTCCTAATGAAACAATTTTTCCTAATATCCAACCTAGACCTCCCCCACTGGAACTTGAGACCATTGCTCTTTGTTCTTTCATTTGTCATTACTAAGAACAACCTCTCTCCATCCTCTTTGGAACCCCCTTCAGGTAGTTGAAGGCTGAAATCAAATCTCCCCTCACTCTTCTATTCTGAAGACTACATACACCCAAATCTCCTAGCTTCTCCTCATTAGTCATATGCTCCACCCCCAATCATTTTTGTTTCCCTCTGCAGGATTTTCTCCAATCCGTCCACATCCCTTCTGCAATGGGCAGAGGGCAATATTGGATGCAGTACTCCAGATGTGGCCTCAAGAGTGCTGAATTAAGGGAAATTATCACTTCTCCAAATCTGCTGGCAATTTGCCTACTAATGCACCCCAATATACCATTAGCCCTCTTGGCTGCAAGAACACACTGTTGACTCATATCCAGGTTCTCATCCACTGTAATCCCCAGGTTATTTTCTGTAGAAGTGCTGTCTAGCCAGTTGGTCCCCAGCCCGTAACAGTGCTTGGGATTCTTCTGTTCCATGACTCAAATTGCACTTGTTGAACCTCATCAATTTCTTTTGGCCCAATCCTCGACTATGTCTAGGTCACGCTAGACCCTAGAATCCCGCTAGAATCCCTTCATTAGAGCCTATCTACCTGTTCCCTAAACTTAATGTCATATGTGAATTTGATGAGGGTGCAATCCAGCACCTCATCCAGCTTTCTATCCATCTTACAGTCCATTTATCTAATCCATACTTCCTTAACTTGCTGGGAAGAATACTGTGGGAGACCATACCAAAAGCTTTGCTGAAGTCAAGGTATATCATGTCCACTGCCTTCACATGTCCACAAAGCCAGTCACCTCATCATAGAAAGCAATCAGGTTGGTCAGGCATGATTTGCCCTTGGTGGATCCTTGCTGACTATTCCTCATCACTTTCCCCTCTTCCAAGTGCTTCAAAATGGATTCCTTGAGGATCCCCTCAATGATTCTTCTGGGGACTGGGGTTAGGCTGACTAGTCTGAAGTTCCCCAAATTTTCCTTCTTCCATTTTTAAAGATGGGCATTACATTTGTTTTTTTCCCCAATAGTCCAGAGCCTCCCACAATTGCCATGAGTTTTCAACGACAATGGCTCTTCAATCACATCAACCAACTCCCCACACTTTTGGATGCATTAGATTCAGCCCCATGAATTTGTGTATGTCCAACTTTGCTAAATAGTTCTTAACCTATTCTTTCTCCACCGAGGGCTACCCACCTCCTTCCCGTACTGCACTGCCTAGTGCAGCAGTCTGAGAGCTGACCTTGTCAGAGGCAAAAAAAAAAAAAAAAATTGAGGCCTTCAGCTCTTCCCACGTCATCCGTCACTAAGTTACGTCCCCAATTCAGTTAAGGACCCACATTCTCCCTGACCACCTTCTTATTGCTAACATGTCTGTAGAAATCTTTCTTGTTACCCTTCATATCTCTTGCTAGCTGCAATTCAAACTGCGTGTTGGCCTTCCTGATTATACCCCTGCATGCTCGAGCAATATATTTATTCTTTTTCCTAATCATCTGTCCAAGTTTCTACTTCTTGTAAGCCTCCTTTTTGTGGTTAAGGTCACCAAAGATTTCACTGTTTAGCAAAGCTGGTTGTCTATCCTGCTTTTCTGAAGTCCGGAGTGTATATTTTGCTGCTCTCCATTCTTTCTTTGGTCTTCTCGTGATCACGGCTGCCCACGTTGCCACGCACACCTACTTCCGTTACCAATTCTTCCCTGTTTGTGAACAGCATGTCAAGCTGAGCATGGCTCCTGGTTGGTATCTTAAGCACTCAGAAACTCAGACTTTTGCAAATACTTTGCCTGTTTCACCACTAAAAGCTTTGATTATTGACATTTCATCTACCTAAGTGGCTTGAACAAATGGCATACATTTTCAGTACCATTTTTCCCCATATTCAACACCAGATCTCTTAAAATTCCTGCATTTCCAATTTTAGCAGTACTGTGAAAATTGAAAAATATTGTTATGTAATCAGAGAATTGTGATAGTAGTGCCCTTAGTATCTGACCATGTGGTAAGCATTCCATATGCCATTGAGAAAGCTTTCATGAGTGGGTGGGTGAATACAGTAAACCCATCAACAGTAGTGTGGAAGGTAGCAACCGCTGAAAGATGTATTGCAAAGAACTGAGAGAAATGCCTGAGACAATGCAGTCAATAGGAAAACATGTTGAATTTGGCACACTGTAGAAAATCACTACCACTTAAGTGTGTACATTTTGTATGTACATGGTCGATGGCTGTTCAGCAAAACCTTCAGAGATTAGCAATGCCATGAGCTGGAAGATCTGAAAATGTGGATGTTGGAGGTGCCCCATATCCTACATGAGGAGATGAGGTAACAGAGTGAAGAATCATGGGGCTTTGGTGCTCATGTATCTGTATTAAGAGAGTCAGATTTGCCTTGGTCACACTGGAAATATCAAGATCACATGGGAGGAGGTGGAATGATGGTGTCATCAGGCAACCAAGGAAATATATACAGGTGTGAAGGAGTATATCTGCCAAATCTATTTCTCCTCTGGATCCTCTAATGAGGGAGGAGCAATAAGGGCAGATGAACTGGCTGATCTAAGTATTCTGGTGGATTGGTGAGAAGGTGAGGCTTGTTGGACTCTATATAGCACCCATGCATCTCAATATGACAAGTTGGATGGCAAGGCCATGGGTGGAAGCACTCACTGAGGGGACTGCCAGTATGATGGTCCAGGTATTGGAGAGGAATGTCCAGAAATTTTCATTCCTACTGAACTTTCTTCCTCATCACTGGCAAGAGGAGGAACAGAGCCTGCAGGTCTAACAGTCAGGATGATTTGTGATCCGACTGGGATGCCATCTATACCGAATAAGGGCATACTGGACACTGTTGATGCAATAAGAAAAACAGCATGCCTGGTAAATTGCTGCAGTACTAGGAAAGTTGGTAGAAATGGAGGTGGCAGAGAGAGGCTTAGGAGCTGTATCGGTGCAGTGGACT